AAAAAAGACATTGAGGGGCTGGAGCGGGTCCAGAGAAGAGCAACAAAGCTGGTGAGGGGTCTGGAGCACAAGTCTTGTGAGAAGAGACTGAGGGAGCTGGTGGGGTTCAGCCTGGAGAAGAGGAGGCTGAGGGGAGACCTTATTGCTCTCTCCAACTCCCTGGAAGGAGGGTGTAGAGAGGTGGGGGTCGGTCTCTTCTCCCAAGTCCCAGGCGACAGGACGAGAGCCTCAAGTGGCCTCAAGTTACACCAGGGGATGTTCAGGCTGGATATTAGGACAAGTTTTTTCACCCAAAGGGTCATCAGACCTTGGGATGGGCTGCCCAGGGAGGTGGTGGAGGCACCATCCCTGGAGGTGTTCAAAAGACGGGTTGATGTGCTGGGGGATAGGGTTTAGTGATGGTGTTGCTTTTTGTTTGTTGTGCGGGTGTCTATTTTGGTCAAAGTGAGGTTGAGGGTTGGCCAAGATGATCTTGAAGGTCCCTTCCACCCTAGAAGATTCTGTGATGATTCTATGGAAAGGCAGGAAGAGGAGATGGGGGGCATTTTTTAGCTCCTAAAGGGCCTGGAAAACAAATCATATAAGAGCAGCTGAAGGAGCTGGGACTGTTTAGTTGAAGGAAGAGGAGGTTGAGGGGAGACCTCATCACTCTCTACAACTCCTTGAAAGGACACCGGAGAGAGGTTGGTGCTGGTCTCTTCTCACAGGTAATTAATGACAGAAGGAGAGGGAATGGCTTCAAGCTCCAACAGGGGAGGTTTAGGCTGGACTTTTGGGAACAATTCTTCATGGAAAGAGTGGTCAGAGACTGGAAGAGGCTGCCCAGGGAGGGGGTTGGGTCACCATCCCTGGACGTGTTTAAGGGTCATTTAGATGTGGTGTTGGGGGATATGGTGTAGGGGAGGACTTTGTAGAGTAGGGGAGATGGTTGGACTCGATGATCCCAAGGGTCTCTTCCAACCTGAATGATGATTCTATGATTCTATGATTCTAAAAGCCCTTTTTTGGCTTTCTCTCCCCCCAACCCCACCTTCAGCCACCTCCATCCTGAAGCGGCAGAAGCAGCTTCGGCGAAAGAATGTCCGTTTCGACCAAGTGACCGTCTACTACTTCGCCCGGCGCCAGGGCTTCACCAGTGTCCCCAGCCAAGGGGGCAGCTCCCTGGGCATGGCACAACGCCACAACTCCGTCCGTCGCTACACCCTCTGCGAGTTCGCCCAGGAGCAGGAGGTCAACCACCGGGAGATCCTCCGGGAGCACCTCAAGGAGGAGAAACTCCACGCCAAGAAAATGAAGGTGAGGGAGAACTTGGGTGGTCCCTCTTTTTTGGGGGAGGAGAAACATCTCCCTGAGCTTTGGTGGAGCTGGAGTTGGGAGAAAGGAGCGTTTTGCCCCAACCAGGTGTGGATTTATCTCTGCTAAACCATTAAACTATTCTTTTTTTTTAGTTCTTTTACCTCTTTTTGGTGTTGGCCCACCAGACAGCATCACCCTGTGCCGGGTTCAGAGCCCTCGGGTCAAATCCTGCCCAGTTTGTGCTGGTAGAAATTCCAGTCTGGGAGGAGGCATCTGGGGAACGATGAGGATCTCGGGTGGCTCTGCCTGTTTTCCAGCCCCTTCCCAGTTTGCCCAGTGGGTCTGTGCCCTGGGGCACCGCCCGGGTGGGATATCACAAAGGAATGCAAACCCTCTTTAATTTCTTGATTTTTTAATTAATTTATTTATTTTTTTTAAACGGGTTTTTCCACCAGCTCCTCTTCCTCCCCCACCTCCCCCCGCTGCCTCCTCTCCTGGGGCTGGGGACCCCCCCTCGACTTTTTTTTATCCTCGATGCCAAGATTTTGGGGGTGTCGGAGCATGAGGGGAGGTTGAGGAAGGTGAAGGGGCTTCACGGGGTCCATCTCTGGTTCCTCCATCCCCTTCAAACCTCATTTTACCCCGGGCAGGGGACACAAACCCTCTGTATCTCTCCCAGGACCCCCATATTTTTGGCAGCAGCGACCTCCTTTTTATCTCGCTATTTTCAGGGCGTCGTCACAGAGGGAGGAGAGAAAAGGGGATTTTCTGCTCTAAATGCTTTTATTATTTAATTTTTTCCCCCTCCCTTTTCTTCTCCTGCCACAAAACCCAGTGTTATTTGGGGGGGTCACATGGGGAGGGCTCCATGTTGGGTTCTGCTTGGGTTTGGGGGGAGGCAGGGGAAGGCTCAGAGGTGGGTTGGTGGGACGAGGAGGATGATGGAGGGATGGACGTCCTTCCTCGTGGCCATCGTGGAGGGGTTTGGGGGGAGGCAGGGGGAGGCTTGGAGGTGGGTTGGTGGGACAAGGATGCTGATGGAGGGATGGATGTCCTTCCTCGTGGCCTCATGGAGGGGTTTGGGGGGAGGCAGGGGGAGGCTCGGAAGTGGGTTGGTGGGACGAGGATGCAGATGGAGGGATGGACGTTCTTCCTCGTGGCCTCATGGAGGGGTTTTGGGGTGTCCTCCCCCCCCCCACCAAGGGCTGAGCACTGATTCTAGCTCCCCTCGTTGTGTCCCTCCACCACCACCAACAACCAGTTGACCAAGAACGGCACGGTGGAGTCAGAGGAGGCAGAGGGCCTGACGCTGGAGGATGTCTCGGACGACGACATTGACGTGGAGAACGTGGAGGTGGACGACTACTTCTTCCTGCAGCCCCTGCCCACCAAGAGGCGGCGGGCGCTGCTGAGAGCCTCCGGCGTCCACCGCATCGACGCCGAGGAGAAGCAGGAGCTGAGGGCCATCCGCCTCTCCCGGGAGGAGTGCGGTTGCGACTGTCGTCTCTACTGCGACCCCGAGGCCTGCGCCTGCAGCCAGGCGGGCATTAAATGCCAGGTGAGTGGTGGAGAAGGAGGTGGTGGTGGTGGTGGCCACGGTGGCACCACCCAGGCCATCTTCTCATAGAGTCAATCCTAGAATCGTCCAGGTTGGAAGAGACGCTTGGGATTGTTGAGTCCAACCATTGAGTCCAACCATTGAGTCCAACCATCAACCCAACTCTACAGAGTCCTCCCCTGCCCCATATCCCCCACCACCACATCTAAACGTCCCTTAAACACCTCCAGGGATGGTGGCTCAACCCCCCCTTCCAATGCCTGACCACTCTCTGTGAAAAATTCCTTCTTAGATGTCCACCGTGTTGGAGCTTGAAGCTGTTCCTTCTCCTTCCCTTCCAATGCCTGACCACTCTCTGTGAAAAATTCCTTCTTAGATGTCCACCGTGTTGGAGCTTGAAGCTGTTCCTTCTCCTTCTGGTGTTAATTACCCGGGAGAAGAGACAAGCCCTAACCTCTCTACAGTGTCCTTTCAAGGAGTTGTAGAGAGTGATGAGGTCTCCCCTCAGCCTCCTCTTCCTCGGTGTCCTCCTCGGGTGGTGGCAGAACTCGGAGCAACGTCTTTTTTTCTCCAAAAAAATAAAGACATTGAGGGGCTGGAGTGTGTCACTCACCTCCCTCAGTCTTCTCCAGCCCCAAGTCCCTCACCCTTTCCTCCCAAGAGAGATGCTCCAGGCCCCTCAGCATCTTTGTAGGCTCTGCTGGACCTTCTCCAGCAGTTCCCTGTCCTTCTGGAACTGGGGAGCCCAGAACTGGTCCCAGTGCTCCAGCTGGGGCCTCCCCAGGGCAGAGCAGAGGGGGAGGATGACCTCCCTTGAGGTTCTCCACGCTCTTCTTGATCACAGATTCACAGAACACTATGGGCTGGGAAGGGACCTCTGGAGATCACCCAGTGCAACCTCCCTTCCAGAGCAGGTCCCACCCAAAGCAGGTTGGATTCATCCAGGGAGGGTTTGAAGGTCTCCAGAGAAGGAGACCCCACCACCTCCATGGGCAGCCTCTTCCAGGGCTCTGCCACCCTCAAAGTCAAGAAGTTCCTCCTCGTGTTGAGATGGAACTTCTTATGTCCCAGTTTGTGTCCGTTCCCTCTTGTCCTGTCGCTGGGCACCACTGGACCACCCTCCTGACCCCCACCTCGAGGGCTGGGTGCAGTTTTGGGCCTCTCTCGACCAAAAAAGGACATTGAGGGGCTGGAGCGGGTCCAGAGAAGGGCGACGGAGCTGGTGAGGGGTCTGGAGAAGAAGGAGAAGGGGGTGGAAAACCAAGGAGAAGGGTCTGGAGAACTTGTGAGGAGCAGCTGAGGGAGCTGGGGGTGTCCAGCCTGGAGAAAAGGGGGCTGAGGGGAGACCACCTCGCTCTCTCCAACTCCCTGAAAGGAGGGTGGAGCTGGGGGGGGTCGGTCTCTTCTCCCAAGGAACGAGAGGAAACTGCCTCACGTTGCTCCAGGGGAGGTTTAGGATGGATTTGGGGAACAATTTCTCCCCCAAAAGGGTTGTCAACCATCGGAAGAGGCTGCCCAGGGCAGGGGTGGGGAGACCATCCCTGGAGGGATCTAAAAGCCAGGTTTGGGGATGGATTATGGATGGGTTTGGTGGGTGTTGGGTTGATGGTTGGACTCCACCATCCCAAAGGTCCCTCCAACTTGGGCAACTCCACGATCCCACGACTCGGGGTGCAGCTCCAGCCTTCCTTTGGGGCAGAACTTCCACCGGGTGCTGAATTCCCACCATCAGGGTTGGATTTTGGGGTTTTGGGGAGGTTTGGAGGTTTCTGGATCCCACCACCTCTTCCCTCTCCCTTCCAGGTGGATCGCATGTCCTTCCCCTGCGGCTGCTCCCGTGACGGCTGCGGGAACATGGCCGGGCGCATCGAATTCAACCCCATCCGGGTGCGGACTCATTATCTCCACACCATCATGAAGCTGGAGCTGGAGAACAAACGACAAGGTGGGGGGCGACCACCGGCACCGGAGGAGGACACGGCCACCACCGTGACCACCACCACCATGACCACCACCACCAACAACGCTGCTGGGACCACCATGACGGGCTCCACCAGCCCCTGGTTGTCTCCTCAACCCTCGGAGACTCAGGACTTCCAAGAATTCATGGCGGAGAACGAGACGGCCGTCCTCCACCTCCAAACGGCCGAGGAGCTGGAGAGGCTGAAGGCCGAGGAAGACTCCGGCGACGGCCTCCCCCCACCCCGTCACCAACCTCCTCCTCCTCCTCCTCCTCATCATCCTGGGGTGGAAAACTTGGGGGTTTGCATCCTGGAGGACCCCCTGGTGGTACCCCAGACCCTCTGCCCCACCTTGGCCACCACCACCCCCATCTTCATCCAAACCCAGTTGCCCCCGGGCTCTTCCCTCCTCTGTTTCGCTCCGGGCTCGGAGCCGGTGGCCACCTCGGCCCTGGGCAACCAGCCCTTCTTGAACGATGGCCCCCTCCTCTATTACCAGCTGGAGCAGCGGCCCCCAGGGGGGGGCTCCTCCAAAGGCGACACTGGCCCCCCCGAACCCCCCCCGCCTTCCTCCTCTTCCTCCTCCTCCCTGGGGGGCAAGGACCTCACCAGCCCCCTCGGCCCCGTG